TGCACTCAGGGAGGCAGAGGCAGGCCTCTGAATTCAAGGCCAGCCTGGTCTACAAAGTGAGTCCAGGATAGCAACGGCTACACAGAGAAACCCTGTCTTGAAAAAACAAGAACAAACAAACACAAACAGTGGTGCAGTGGTGGTAGCATTGAGGGGTTTAGAAATAAAAGACCATAATTTGTATACTTATTTAATGTCCAAAGCAGTGTAAAAATGTTAATGTTAAATTATTTAGGGGACTTTTGGTAGATATTCCGTGTACCAGTTTCAGTTTTTTAATCTTTTCTGATCCTTTTGAAATATAACTTATGCATTTATAAAAACTAGTATTGGGATCAATTTATAACAAGTAACAATATTTGGTTTTTCTATATCATGTAATCCCAGTGAAAGAGGAAGTTACTGACTCCTACCATTTTAGTTTATAACATCACAAAATTCAGGCATCATATAACCCAGATTAGTATACACTAAATTATTTCTATATCTTTTTAGTACATGGTAGAAAAATGTTTTTAGACAGTTAAAGTTTCATGATACTTCTGAAATATTTAATTATATTCTGTTTTTTTAAATTAAGTCAGTGATTAGTTTCCTGTTCTTGAAGACTTAGCATCTGTAATTATAAGTTGAAGTATGTGAGTTGAAAACTGTAATAATTAAAATTGTATATTTAAATCTCACTGCAATAATGAGTGAAGATTGCACTCTCTAGGCTAATTTGAGTAGTATTTCCCCATGAATTTGTTCTAAACTGAGCCTTCTTTTCAGACAAGGCATTTATTCCAATTTCTTGAATATTATATTATGGAGTTTTTATAGAATTAGTGAAAGCTGCTTGCCTTAGTATTGAGGTTTCTTCTGTGCCAAGTTTTAAAATTGGACTGTCAGATTTACAAAGAACATGGAGCCAAATTCTTGTACGACATGTGGTTGTCTATGTCAGCAGCAGAGAAAAATAACACATCTATTTTTAAGTTAGATGGAATTCTGAAGTCAAACCACTGGCTTGAATGCCTGCCATGGTGATATTAAATTTTCAAACATGTTTATAAGCCCTCTGCTGCCTCCTGCTGCTTATGTGTGAATAATTAGTATAAGGAAAGAATTGGGTTTTTTTGTTTTGTTTTGTTTTTTTAGTAATTAATTTTTATCTTTAAAAATGTTTGTTATATATTTACAAATCATATTTTTATGTATTGGGTACAAAGTAAAATGAATTTTTAATCAATGTGAAATGAATAAATGATGCTAATCTGTAGCTTTAATTCATTTCCAAAATTTAACTTCCTGATAATAAATATTGATTTTTTTGTTTTGTTTAGAGTAACATTTATCTTAATATGTTGTAGTTTCCACTTGAGTTTTTGAATAATCAGATTTTTTTGTTTTTAATAGACAAAAAAAAAATCTATTTAGGGATTAAAAGGGCACCTAAGTTAAAGTAACTCAATGATCTATAAACTTTAGTTTCAGTTTTCTTTTGCCTTCTTTGTGGCCTTCAGTCATAGATCTGTTGTTCAGATAAATTAGAACCAGGAGAATGAGGGAAAACAGATAAATGGGTGATGAAAATATCAACTAAACTATGAAAGAAAAGAATTTTAAATTGTACTGTGAATTGGTAACTCCAAGCATGTGGGTATTTTCTGTGGCATTCCTTTGTTAAAGAATATTGTTGTGTGGAGTATAGTGGTAGGTTTTGTATAGGAGGCAGGGGGGGAAGATCATGAATTTTAGACCTGCGTGAGCTGCATCTTTAAAATTATAAATAAATAAATAGGTAGGTAGGTAGGTAGGTAGGTAGGTAGGTAACCATGTCATCTGGTGTTTAAACTAATGGCTTTGTTTCATCAGCATGAGAGGTGATTAGTTGCTTGTATATTAATAGTATATGCAAATACAAGCTCCCTGGGAGTGAGAGGAGCAGTTGCTTTCAGCTCACCCTGAGACACCTGAGTGATTATCATGCCAGCTGCGTAGCATTGGTTACGTTTCCTGACTTCCCACAACTCGTTTCCTTAAGTGTGAAAGGGAAATTGTTCTTGTAGAACAGTTAGGGATGATGTTTTTAAAAGAGAACACTGTTGTCAATTAGGACAGGAAAAGTGGGAAATTTTGTGTTTTGGAACATCTTTATATCCTTAAAAGAGGATTGATCTCCAACAGGATTTTATCTCTGAGGATTTTATAAGCACTTCCTATGCTAATGGTGGAGAAAAAGAATTTTAAGTATTTATTCTCTTAGAGAAAAGTCTAACGCATGCTAACATAAACAAGACTTCTTTGGGACTGAAGACCAAGCACCAGAAAGATGAAAAAATGGCAAACACAGATAATGGGCGGGGGAATGTTTGATTTTTTTAAAAAGTGCTTTCAGAACAAAATAGTGAAATGAAAGGTGTGAGTGGCTGTGCCGCCAGCTGCCGCCTTTTAGCACTGCACTCAGACTGCTGTGTGATTGGCCTCAGTGCATGAAGAAAATCCAGCCTCGCACAGAGCAGCTGGGAAATGTCAGATCTGTTGTTTGTCCTAGAAATGACCAGCACTCTTTTTTGACCATACACACCATCCATAGTTTCTTCAAGGATAATTGCAATATAAAATGTGAAACCAGAATAGGTTTCATCTGTTCATTAAAATCATTGATACTTAAACTTTAAAGGGGTATTTTATCTGAGCATGATTTTGTAATTTCTACATGGTCATTTGAACGGAAACTGCTTTGCTAAGTTACTCAAATCTTTAAGATGTTGATAAATTATTTTATTTTATAACTATTTATTAATACACCACAAATATGAGTATTAGGAAGCTGCAGAACTGATTATGGTAGATACAAGTTTTCCAAAATTTTACTAAAAGCTTAAATTTTCTCTCTGACAATATCACCAGCAGTCGTTTCAATTTTGTGTGCGTTTGTGCACACTTGGATGTGGAGGTCAGAGGACAGCCTCAGATAATGTTGCTCATGCACTGTCAACCTTGATTTTTGAGTTAAAAATATATCTCAGGGTTGTCTCTTTCCTACCTGGAGTTCTCAGCAGCTAGGCTGGGCAGCTGGCCAGTGAGCTCTAGAACTGTACCTGTCCCTATGTCTGCATGTGCCACTAAGCCTGGCAAACTGAGCTCCTTCTCGCAAAGTGAGCTCTTTACTGATTGGGGTATCTCAGCCTAGCAGTTATTTTTCTTAAAGTGACAGATTCACCTTTTTTTAATTTTCAAGACTATTTCTGGCAAAACCCAAGTCTCAGTACCATGCTTTGTCATCAGGTAAAAATGATTCCATGATAAGATCAGATGATTCAACCCAAACTCAGTCCTAAAATGCTTTTTAAAACAACTATTATACTTGTACATGCTGCAACTACACATCCAGTTTTCTCCTAATTAAACTACATACAATAAAAATATGTAATCTGTACAATGAACTTATTATTGATTGAAATTTTTTATTTTTGTTTTTAACAGTACAGTGTGTGTGTGTGTGTGTGTGTGTGTGTGTCCCCACACACATGCTTGCACATGCATGTGCACACACTGGCCACAGTCCACATTTGTGAATTACAGAATAACTTGCAAGAGGGAGGTAGTTCTCTTCCTTCTAACACTTGGGTCCCAGGGAGTAAGCTCATGTCCTCAGGCTTAGAGGCAGCTTGCCGGGACTTCACTGAATTTTTGTTTTTAAAACCACAAGTGTATGGCAATGACTAACAGGATACATGTAAGCACGGGTTCCAATTGTTGATGCTTTGGTGTTCAGAAAAGTTCATTAATTCCAAAGTTACTTTTGTGTTTTGGTTATAATTCTGTACTTGTAGTTTTGTTGATGTTTTCCTATCTGCCTTAAATCTCTTGTACAGTCTCTTGACATTCAGATCTTCAGGTTCATCAAACATTTGTATCAGAAACCAGGATGCTCTTAGGTAAACTGCTGTAAAAATGCAGGTGTCCAAGTTCCCTTTCATCTTAACTTATAATTTTTATCTTTCAGTCTTGAATAGAAGGTGATAGTTATTTTTATTTGAGCTATTTTAAAATGATACTGATACACAGATACTTTAATCTGAACACTTATATTTTTAAAGCCTGTTGAGTAGGTAGTCTTCCAGGAATCAGTGTTTAGAAGAAAATAGAGGTAGAGCTGCTACCTTTTATATGATACAATATTGGGTTTGGGGTACTAAATATTTTTTAAAAGAAAAGGTGATCTTTGATTTTAAATTTAGTGTTCCTTAGAAATAACACATCAGATTGTAAAGTTATTTTTCATGTGCCTTTAACATTCAAAACCTTTGCATCATTAAAATTGAGGGTAAATGAAGTCACACAGGACACAGTATGAGTCATGGTCAAGAGTGTGGACATGAACTTGAGCGTGGCTCAGTGGTCGAGCACATGCCTGTTGTGTGTAGAAGGCTCTCAGCACAGGCTTGAATTATACAGATCTGGTTTTGCATTAGCTACCTAATTTATCTTGAGCAAGTTCTGCATGAAAATGATATTTCTTAAAGCTTGATGTCCGTAGCTTGATAGAAGTTTGTCTTCTGTGCTATTTTAATGTCATCCCGTTATTTTAACTCAGTTGATGTCTCTAAACATCCCTGTGAGGTAGGTAAAATGGATTCTTACAACATAAAGGAGGCAGTGTAAATGGTTAAGAGGCCTGCTTAAAGTTCGCATGTCTTCAGACTCGGGGTTTCTCCACTGTCGGCCTTTATCAGTAAAGATGGTGCAGTGGGGAAGCATGCTTGACCAGGAACAACACTGTTCTGGGATTGCTGACTCCCTGAGAAGAGGTAGTCCTGCATAAAAGGATTCTTTAGTCAAGGGGAAAGGGGGGCGGGGCTCTTATCTTCAGTTATGATGACTCGTGCACTTGTTCTTTACTGGCAGAAGAGCTACATATTCGTAGATAGCTTACATATATGTAAGCATGAATAGGATAAATTCTACATGATCATTTAAATAATTTTATTTTCCTTCTCTGTTCCCCCAAGGTGTTCAAAAAGCAGCCCAGGCCTTGGAAGCAGGTGATAAACATCTCGAGCTTCACTCAGAATCACATGTGCAAATAAAAAGCCATTTGATAAAAAGGTAATCGTAGATATTTAGAAATAGGAACATTTCAGTTTCTAAATTCATGTATAATGGGAACTCTGGTAGATTACATGTGAATTTGTAATCTGAAAGCATTACAATGCTTATTTTATTAAAATTATTTCGTAGCATGTAGACCTAACAGCAGAGTGCCTATAAACTGCTGGGTATGGTACTTGATTATTTTAATACACTTCCATATATACTAGGAGCATAGTAATGCCGATATCCTTACCGGCAGATGCCTAATGCCTTTTCCATCTTAACTAAGCAGTTGTTTACTCTGTAACACTGACTTTTGCAGTTTGAGGTATAAACAAAACCAGCATTACTGATTTTTCCTCCTTCATGGTCTCGGTTCTAACTGAAGAGGTTAGAGCATCAGCCTGGTCTCCAAGTTCCCTAAGTCTAGAACTTGAAGGAACTTAAAGAAAGCATTTCCTTCTTAGCATGACACAGTTGACACCATCAATCACTGTGCTCGCACTGTGAAGCCCGTACTAGGTGAACACAAGCACTGTAGGTGAGCGGATAGGACTCAGAAACAAATGGAGGACTGCAAAGAGCATGGCTCATATCCTAAATAGAATGCCACTTAGTTCTGTACAATTTAAAACTGAATTAATGATTTTAGGAAGTTTTCATTTAATGATTCATACTGCAGTTGGCCTTGAGTAACTAAAATCATGAATAAGAAGGGTCTACTATATTTCCAAAAAACAAAACTTGGAATTTAGATAAAGTGGCATACACAAAGCAGTGGAGCTGAGATTTTGTCATAGTTGTATCTACTGAGCCATTCTGTTGTCATTAAATTCCAAATAATATATGGAACAAAGATAGCTTCACCATAGGAGAAAATAATTTTATTTCTCTACTGCAAAGTTACGTTCTACCTCAAGACAGTCTTAATTAAAATTAGTACACTGTCCTGCATTATATATCAGAATTTAAATGTAGAGACACTCTGCTGCCTATATATATGCCTATAAACATCGTAATCTTGGTAGGAAATGAGATATTAAATTATTTGCTTTCAACATTTTCTTTAAATGATACGTTATATTTTATCATAATAAATACAATTTCAGTGTTTTTAATTTGAAATGAGTTTTTAAGTTCACAGTTTTAATTAAGAGGAAGTGACTTGAGGACTGGATATATAGTGACATGGTAGAGTGCCTGATTAGCAAGCATAGGCCCTGGGTTCAGTCTTGTCCCCATTTCTACCTGTCATACAAAGAAAAAACTAATGACTTTCAAAGTGGTAAATGTTTCTAATAAGCATATATGTACTATTCTGGCATATAGATTCAGGATCAGAGAGAACTGAAAATGTTAATGGCTAAAAAGTAGCCCCCATTTCTACTGCTGTGTTGTAAAAATAAAAACTCTAAGTTAGGAAAATCAAACCACAAGACAAAGATTTCATTTCCCTGCGTGGTTATTTGGCTTTATTTTTTTATTTTTATTTTCAAATTTCAGGTCACATATCGGTGAAACCAATGACAAATTATTTCCTTCAACCAGCCCACAAACGCTTAAGGACCATATTGCAAGAGAAAGTGTCTACCAGGCAAATGAACAGAAAGTGGAAAAAACAAATGAGGCTAAGTTTTCTGAGTGGTGTAATACAGAAGATCCTGAAGGAACAGGCTTGCCATTTCATGTTGATGACAGTTCTGTGGCTGGGAAGAGAGTCAGCAGCAATGAAACAGTCTTACCATCATCTTCATTGTCTTCACATGTGAGAACTGCTGGACTAAAGCCTGAAACTGGACCCCTCATATTCTGGCCACAGCAAAACATCACAGAACAGTGTTACTCTGAGAACTCTCTATCCAGAGAACATAAGCCTCAGTCAGCCTGCAATACTGATAGTTGTCAGATGCCAAAACTTCACTGCCACCGTTCACCACCCCCTTTGCCACCAAAGAAATACTCTACAACCAGTGTGCCACAGGTAGAGAGAGCTGGATTTATACCTGGTGTCAGACTTACAGAAGCATGTAATGCTAATTCTTCCAGTTTTCCAAAACACAGCTTGAGTACAGCCTCAGGAACAAGTTTAGAAGGGAGTGTGTACATGATCCACGAGAGAGATAAAGAAACTATTCCAGTGAAGCAGCATGCTGCCAACAGCTACCCCTCCAACTGTTCATCTGATTCCCAGGCAAACTCAAAAGCTGTAGTCGGTGCATTCTGCCAACCAGATCAAGACTCTAGTTCTGTGTGCCCAAATGAAACAATTTCATTGACTACCTATTTCTCAGTTGATAGTTGCATGACTGATACATACAGACTGAAGTACCATCAGAGACCCAAGCTCTGTTTTCCAGAGAGCAGTGGCCATTGTAATAATAACTCACTATTTCAGACTGAGCAAGTAGAGGGATCCATTACATAATGGTCATCTTGGTTCACCCTGCCCTTCTGAACAAAGATACAAACCCTGGAATGCATTGTAAGATAAATGCGTCAGCCATTAGAAATACCAACTGACCAAATCTAAGGATATGTAAGACAAAAACTTGTATTGTGAAAATCAGTCAGGTTAATCTGATAAATTTTTATGATCAATTTATTCAATACTTTAGAAATTTCCTTTCAGTAGTCTTGGTATACCTTGAAAAGTAAGGGAGTATGTAATTTAATTTATTTGTATGTAACAGTTGAGCAAACACCATGCCTCCTGTTAATTTGGCTGTAGATGTGTAATTATCATACTAACTAGTATTTAATGTTGGCTGGTGCATTTTGCTAATTAAGAAATGCAGTGTGTCTAGGGAAAGCAGTATTTGCTTTTAACAGAGCACTTTCTGGTGGGTAACCAAAGATGGCTCTACTCACATGCTTTTGACTTCTGTGATAGTCCAGTACATATGATCATTCAAGTGTCTTAAAACTGCCCATGGATTTCTTATGTTACCATCTGAAAAGCATTTGCCTTAATGATCAAAAAATTTTTAATTAAAATCTCAAGGTCATAAAATTTATTTTGTTCCTAGAACTTTTCAGAATATCTACTTAACATAAATTAACCTTTGTAATTTGTACTCAAATATCTCAGTCATATAAGTTAAAAGTAAAAAATATGGTAGTATATTATTTATCTTGTTATGTTAAATTGTTTTATAGCTTTATATGAAATGTGAAAAGTCTTCCCTTTGGTTTGATTTACTTTAGGCTGCTAATAACCAGTGTTACAAATTGACATTGGACTTTCTTATTGGGACTGTCACTACTGCTTTGATCACTTAAAGATTGCTAACGATTATCAGTGTTTTTACTGTTGAGGCTTCCAGATTAAATTTCTGCCTTTATATAAAGGTTTAATGTTAATGAAATGTCATTCTTTTTTTTTTTTTTTCTCTTAAATAGTAACTATCTCCACTACCATCAAGAGTGGAGTTTAATTATACTAAAAGGGATTTTATTATTATGTTGAAAGTAAATTGGCTGAATTGCCTTATTATGATTTTATTTTTAACATTTATAATATCTTTAAATGGGCAAGGTTCATAATCATGACTTTAAAAATCAGTAGCTTGACAAGGCCCATAAATTGTTAAAAACCCAAAGTGTATTTAAGAAAAGTACTTTGAGATAAACTGAAACTTGATTATAAAAGTCTGAATTCACACTGTTATCAGTTCTTGGCCAAATATTGTTTTTATTGTTCTTTTATAGCATAATAGTTGGTGATCATTACTTTATAGTCTCTTCAGGAACACTTGAATATCAAAGTTAAAATTTATCCTTAAAGCTTATTTTTTAACAGCTTTTAATATGGAGAGTTTGTAAATAATGTAAAGTTTGTAAAGTTGTATTTGAAATGTCAGTGTTTATAGTTCTTGCTTTTATAACATTGTAAAATACTAGAAAAGAGCTTGTTATTTTTAATAGCTTTTAAAAAGTTTTTTAAGTTAAAAAAATCTATTTGGTCCATATTTCCTGTTGGGAATGTATTATTTGACATTAAACTAATTTCTGAATTTTACAGCAGTTTCATAGATGTCACCTTTTCAACTCAGTTGAGTTTGCAAACAGAAATGTCATTTCTTATTTTAATACACTACTCAGTTAAAACCCTCTGTATTATATAATATTGACTGAAGTAGAAACTGATCATTTGTTGATTCAACACAGAATAGATTCAGTATTTATTGGCTAATTGTGTAAATTTCTTCTTCTCTGGTGCCTAGTTTTAACCAATATTTCCTTGTTATAAGCTTGTAGCTTCTTAATGTAATCATGTTTCAAATAGTTATCTCCAGAATATTATATTTTCATGTGAAATCAATTTCTTCTGGCTCAAAACAAAATTGAGAAATTTAATTTCTTTGCATTTATGGACTGTGGTCTCCTTCCACATATCACACAAATAATGGGAAACATTTAAAAAAAATTTAAAGATCACAAAATGTTAGCCCAGGATGTTCCTAAAATTTAAATCCCAAAGTCAGAACCACAGCTCTTAGAGAAACTGGCAACTGTTCTATAGATGGCAAGATGTCAATGATTTAGACCATGAATAGAAAATCCTGGAACAACTACACAGCTTTTTGGGTTGAAAACAGCCTTACACAATTTGTAATGGGTGCATAGGACTGTTTTTCAATAAAACTTTATGAACATCAAATCTAGATTACATATGATTTTCATGTGTCATGAAATTATTTTGTTTTCCAATCACTTTAAATTATTAAAAAAAGAAGAAAGCCAGCTGGGCATAGTAGCCCACACTTTTAATCCCAGCTCTTAGGAGGCAGAGGCAGAAGGTGGATCTGATTTCGAGGCCAGCTTGGTCTGCAAAGCTCTGTACAGAGCCGCACCATGATGCCTTGCTTCAGAAAGGCATGTTGCTTCAGAAAACAACATGAAATGTAAAAACAAAAGAAAAATCCATTCTTGACTAAGAAGCCTTATGAAAAATGTTTGGCCTAATGCCCACGCTCTATATTGTCACAGTTCACCCTCATCAAAACTGACCTCCAAATGTAGCTTGTGTTCATGGCCTGGTATTTGGAGCTGTTTACATCCTGTAACTTGAGGTTAATGTCTCCCTAAAAACTTCTTCCAAGTCCTAAGCCAATTCAAGTGCAACTATCAGAAGCTACTTCACATTTAAAAACCAAGTGTGAATCCACAAAGGAATTTAACAGATTACTCTTGCTGTCATTGATAGGAACAAATTTGCAGCTTTCCTTAAAGTTCCATTTAGATATTTTTAGTAATTTCCAAAGTATGAGCATCATAGTTTACAAAAAAAAAAAAAAAAAATCCTCAATGCAGCCTTCGTGTTCTTATGTGCCAATTACAGCTATCTATTACTGTGGCAGAGTTCTTGAAAGAGCACGGTAGGTAGGTAGATAGATAGATGGATAATTTAGCGCAAAAGCACGAGGGATTATCTTACATAATTGAGGCTCAGGGATCTCATGTAGGCTTAAAGCCTAGGAAAGCTTGAGTTCTAGTCCAAACTGAGGGACAGAGAACCAGGGAGAATGGCCAGTCTGAGAACCCAGAGAACTAGAAGTACTGGGAACAACTGAAAGGCTGGTAACCTGGGCAATAGGGGGAAAAAGGTCATGAAAAAGGTGGGATTAGAGACTTTATTAAGTACAGTTGTACAGCTACAGTAGACATGACAGTGAAGTGAAAGGCTTTCAAATGGAGCTCTTTTAAGGGGAAGGGGTATTCTGCAGAGGAATTAAGGCAGTGGTTCAATGTCAAGGTACTCTGAGCAGTCCCAGGTGGGGCCCATCTTGACTAACACAGAGTGAAGACCAGTGCTGCTTGGAGACAACAGCTATGCTCTAAACCCAGCTTGTCCAGAAGATGCTACTGTTTTGTTCTGAGGCCAGAATAACTCAGCACAGCCTTCATTCATCAGGATGGTATCCACACAAATAGATGGGCTGGCAAAGAAAATCTGCCTTCTATTTTCACCCTCCATCAGGGATGTAACCTTTACTATTTTCCAGCATATTAGCTTTTCTTCCCAAAACACAGACATACACAGGAATGATGTTTTGCCATCTGTCATGGATCCCTTAGTCCAAAGTGATGCAAAAATTCATCATACTACAATCTCCAAGCTGATAGTTGTAAAAAGCTGGCTTGGGGCTCAAGAGAATAAAGTGCATGTGTGAACTAATGGCAAGCTATTAACCTTCCCACTCTACCACCAGGAAACCCAATACAATGAAATTAAATTCAGTGTTATAAATAAACGTTTATTAGAGAAAATTAGTAAGCAGTACAAATTGGATCCCAGAGTGTGGTAACCTCAGTCTCACCCCAGCCCTGTGTTCTAGTACACATGCTTCAGTCACTCTTTGCAAGAAAAGTATCCAGGCAAATGCAACAATATCCTGAGGACATAACTGTTAACAGTTTACCAAATGTTGTGACTTTACCCCACGCCTGGATACTTCAGGGGGTTCACATGCAGGGAATGGCACTCTTATGATGAAAAGGAATGGATTCCAAAGAGCTTATAGTGGCTGCTTTGGGACTGTGGCCTTTCTGAGTAAATGCTACTTTCTCCAACCATAGATGATAAATATTTTAAAATAGCATATTTTTAAAACAAAAATATTCAAGAAAGTAAGCTTCACAAAGATAACGGTTTTTTTGGCTGATTTTCACCACTTTGTACAAAATGAAGCCTGGCTAATAGTGAGGGGCCCACTACCGGTTGGATGAGTAACTTCTACATTAATTTCCCTTAAGTATTTAAGTTACAGACATTATTAAAATATATGTTACATATATATCAGATAGCTACAATCATTAATTCAACCATTATAAACAGGTTTGAAACACATGGTACTATTTGGGGGAGGTCAAGGGCTTAAGGAAAGGTTAGAGGTCTGGAATTCAGCCGCTGGACGTCCTCTTTATTCAAGAAGTCTGTAGAGGTGATTCAGGATTCACTCCAGAAGCCACATTCTTGCCTCTCAGCAAACCAGTCTGTAAAAACCAAACACTTGTTTCCTTTCTGTTTATTTTGACAGTTAGTGAGAACCTGAACATCTACAGTGCTAGTCATTCTCTACTCCCTGCATAACTTACATTGATAAGGAAAAACAGAAGGCCTAGATTATTAAGTCGTGAATTTGATAAGGAAAAACAGAAGGCCTAGATTATTAAGTCGTGAATTTTTTGCCCAGGGTGAAAATTTGAACATTGAAAGTAAATAAATAATAAATCGCTGTTCTTGAAATGTCTATCTACTGAAATGGCTTAACAAACGATTTTATAAAAAGAAAAAAAAAAATCTTATCCTTTCAGCAACCTATCATCCTCCCCATCCA